GTCCCTGTCCCAGATTGGGAACTGGCTGARCAGGTGAGTGCCACAGGGACAGTGGCCCCATCCCTAATGGGATGAAAGTGACAGCAGCTGAGTGCTGCCCTTCTCTCCACCCCCATACAGTTACTGCTGTGGGTAGGGTGCAGGGACAGTGACATGGGCAACYGAGGGTGAGTGGGGGTGGCTGGGGTTCTGCTTGCCTCCAAGTGGAGAGGGCTGGGGGGCAGGGAGGGACCTGGACAGGTGCAGGTGGAATGTGTGGAGGTGGCACATGTGTCACTGCTGTGGGACSTGCTTCCTGAGGAGGAGCCGAGGCCCTGCTGGGTCCACAGATGCCCAGATAGCTGCTGCCCTGGGACAGGGGTTTGGAGAGGGGTGTGAGTGTAGCCCCCTGTCCTGGGGTAAAGGCAACCCTCTCGCCAGCCCCATGGGCTGAGCTGAAGCTTGGAGCCATCCAGTGTGAGGAACCCTGGGATGAGCTCACGGAGTTCTAGGCTGGAAATGCTGTGGCTCCATGCCACATAGGAAGGAGCACCTGTGGCTGTACTGCATAGAAAGCTGCTGGTGCTGATGAGTCAGGGCACCCCCCACTGCCCCCAGCCCTGGTGTTGGAGGAGCTATTCCTGTTCCCAGCCCTGATGTCCTCACAGGGCGGCACGAAAGCCAGGAGCCCTTCCTGGCCTGGCTGCTGCTGCTCAGCAACATGTCGGCRCTGCCCTGGGTGCATTCGGTGAGCTACGGGGACGACGAGGACAGCCTGTCATACGCATACATGGAGCGTGTCAACACTGAGTTCATGAAGGCAGCGGCCCGCGGTCTCACCATCCTGTTTGCCTCAGGTGCGGCCAGGGCCTGGCACAGCAGAGCCTGAGTACCAAGCACCAAGTGGAAGGGGTGGCTGGGACACTGTGGTCATCTGTCACCTGTTCATGTGTTGGCAGGTGATGACGGTGCTGGGTGCCGGAGGGTGCACAGTGGGAACCACACGTTCCGGCCCAGCTTCCCGGCCTCCAGGTGCGTGAGGGAAGGGGCTGSGTGCAGGGGGTCGAGGTCAACACAGACCTGCAGGGGCACTGCTGGCCCTGGCCCCGGCCCCATTGGARTCTGAGCCCATGAGGGTTCACACCAGCTCACTTACAAACCCCAGAGCTGTGTGCTGTGCAGCTCCTAGGGGTTTGTTCGGTTTGTGGAGCAAGGCTGTGGGATCAGAGGGGGCTGTTAACAGCTGCAGAGGCCCAGGCAGCTGTATGCCCACCTGTCTCCGTTTCTCCAGCCCCTACGTCACTACCGTGGGTGGCACATCCTTCAAGAACCCCTTCCTGGTGACAGAAGAGGTGACGGATTACATCAGTGGCGGTGGCTTCAGCAACACCTTCCCCATGCCCGAGTACCAGGTGAGGGGCACTYGGCTGCCAGGTTGGGGTCTGCGGATGGAGCTGCAGGGTTGGTGTTCTGTAGGACAGTGGACTTTGGGGATGACCATGGGATGTGCCATCCCCAGGCAGCTGCTGTCAGGAGTTTCCTGCGCTCAGCCTCGAAGCTGCCACCCAGTTCCTACTACAACAGCAGTGGCCGTGCGTACCCTGACCTGGCTGCGCTCTCCGACAACTACTGGGTGGTGACAAACCGCATCCCACTGCCCTGGGTTTCAGGGACCTCGGTAAGGAGCTCATCCCCTGCCACCCTCCAGGCTTGTGGRTGTCCTGAGCTTGAGGGGTTGTGCCCATGCAGGCATCCACACCGGTAGTGGCGGGCATGGTGGCACTGATCAATGACCGGCGCCTGCAACGGGGGCTGGCACCCCTTGGCTTCCTCAACCCTGCGATCTACCAGTTAGAGAAGCAAGGACTTGGTGATGCATTCTATGATGTGAGTGGGACAGTGGGCTGGAGGGGCTGTGCTGGGGCTGAGGGGACTGTGGATGTCCTGAAGGGTTGGGCTGAGACCTGGGTTGGGTCTGTCTATGGGGATGGCAAGGCCGTGGGTGCTCCAAGGGCTGGGCTGGRAGTTGAGAGGGCTGTCCTGGGGCTCCTGCTCCCAGAGCGGTGCCTGGGGTAACACCAATAGTGTCCTACTGGGGGGCAGGAGAGAGTGCCATGGGAGAGGTATCCTGGGGGTCCCTCTTGACCTTTTCATGGGGGTGGTGTTCTGGGGGTCCCCATGAACTCCTGTGAGCTTTGTGGGGYGGGTCCGCTTGTGCGGTCATGGTAGCACCGTCCAGTGACTGCAGAGGTTTTGGGGTCCAATTGAGCGTGCTGTGCCACAATGCCAGTGTCCCGAGGAGACCCTGGGCGGGGGCGGCCTATGCCGGGGGGGGGGGCGTTATGGGGGGTTCCTATGTCGAAAGTCTGGGGGTCCCCGTCTCTGGAGTGCCGGGGGCAGCTGTCTCGGGGACCGCGGTGGTCCACTTGTCCCCGTACTGAGGCCGGTCCCCACAGGTGACCCAGGGCTGCCACCTGTCCTGCCTAGACGGCACCGTGCAGGGCCAGGGCTTCTGCGCCAGTCCCGCCTGGGACCCGGTCACCGGCTGGGGCACCCCCAACTTCCCGCGCCTGCTAAAGGCGCTAGGGCTGTCCTGACCAGGACACCGGGACCGGACACCGGAGCACGGCGGAGCTGGAGAGCGGGCGGGGGCCGGGGCTGTGGGAGGCGGGGACAATAAACACGAGAGCCCCGTCCCCTYCTCTGTGTGTGTGATTCCGCCGCCAGGGGGCGCGGGGGGGGCGGGGGATGCGCCGTTGGGCGGAGCCAGCGCTGGGGGGCGGGGCCAGCGGGCCAGTGGCAGGGGCGGGGCAGAAGAGCCGCGGGCCAATAGTGTGGCTTGGCGCGCGCAGGCGCGAAGCTGAGGCTGGCGCCGGGGACCATGAGCGGCAGCGCCGACCCCGACCCCGCGCCCGCCGTGCCGGCGGCCCCGCCCGGCCCCACCGAGGGCAGCAAGCCCAGCCCGGCCGCTGTGGGCAGCGCCGGGCCCGGAGCGGCGCCAGCAGCGGGGGGCGGCGCGGCGCGGGCCACCGAGGGCGGCGCGGCCGGCGGGAGGGGGCCCGGTGAGTGAGATGGGGGGCGGCGCGGGACGGGCGCCGCGCACGGGAGTCCCCGCGGGACGAGCCGAACTGGGCTGGGCGGAGGAGCGGCGTYCGGTGCCTGCGGGGATCCCGGGGTCCAGCCGAGCGCGCTGTCGCGCATTGCCGGCGTCGGCGGGGCCCGGGCGTGCGGGGTTCCTGCGACTGATGGTGCTGTCCCGCAGTGCCGGTGTCCGCGGCCGTGGCCGCCCCCACGGACGGGGCCATGTCCAACGGCGTGTACGTGCCGCCCGCCGCCAACGGCGACGTGAAGCCCGTGGTGTCCACCACGCCGCTCGTGGACTTCCTTATGCAGCTGGAGGACTACACACCCACGGTACCGACACACGGGGCGGCTCCTGTGGGACGGGACGGGAAGGGACGGGACATGGGGCAGGTCCCACGGTACTGGGATACGGAGTGGTTCCTGTGCGACGGGATACAGGATACGGAAACGTTCCCGTGGGGCCGTGGAGCTGTTTCAACTCTTGCCTTTTCAGATCCCGGATGCCGTCACAGGGTATTACCTGAACCGGGCAGGGTTTGAAGCCTCGGACCCCCGCATGTGAGTGGCAGCAGGGTTGGGGGGGGTCTCCTGAACCCCATGGGGGCCCAGCAGAGGGGCCCACGGACCCCCGTCTTCTCACCAACGTGGTCCGTGTCCTGCAGAATCCGCCTCATCTCGCTGGCTGCGCAGAAGTTCATCTCAGACATCGCCAATGATGCGTTGCAGCACTGCAAAATGAAGGGCACAGCCTCGGGCAGCTCCCGCAGCAAAAGCAAGGTGTGGGCACTGAGGGAACCGGGGAATACCCTCTCTGGGGCTGAGTCTGCAGCTACTGAGTGCAGGAATCTCAAAAGCCGCTGGGCTTTTGGTGGGTCTCTGCAGGTGGGGAGGGGCTGGCAGGGACATGAGCAGGGCAGTGAGCTTGTGGACACACTTTGGTGCCCCTCAGGGATATGGRCGCAGCTATCCCTGGCAACCCGTTCTCCCCTGACTCTGGCCGCAGCTCCAAGCTTGGGGAGGAGCAGGAGTGGGGGSTCCTGGGGACCCTCCTAGTGCTATATCTAGGGTTAAGGGGCTCCATAAGGGTGATGGGATTTGGTACTCGGTGTCTGGGGACGTCTGAGGGCACAGCAACAGAATGTGGTGAGCTGGGAATGCCCTAATGTTGCCCAGCATTTCCTCTGGGAGCAGGGCATGCCTGTCCTCATGCCTTTGGGRGGTTCCATACCCCTGGGCTGTCCCTGCTGTGACCACCTGTTCCATGTTCCATATTCAGGACAAGAAGTACACGCTGACCATGGAGGACCTGACACCAGCACTGGCCGAGTATGGCATCAATGTGAAGAAGCCGCATTATTTCACGTAGAGCACGGGGGAACTTGGGCAGTTTGTAAGGGCAGTGTCGGTGCCATTAAACACCTAGTAGGAGGATTTTGTGAGAAAGCAGCCTTGCTCCTGTGCCTGCATCCACAAATGCTAGCCCTGGTCCTCCACAGGGGGGCTGTCATGCTCATTCCCCTCTGCCAGTCACAGGGGSCTCAGTGGCTCCCAGCAGGGCTGGAGCAGAGCTGGGCTGAGGGGACAGGAACTGCCCAGAACTCTTCCTCCTTCCCTAAACTGCCTSTTGTCTCTGACAGGGAATGCCTTTGGGGCTGCACAGGCAATACTACAAATGGAGCCAGGGACGGGACCKAGCCCAACCTTCCAGCACGGGGCACCTCCCAAAGGGGCCCTGTGCCCATCTACCTGCRCTGGGCAGGTTTGCTGTGCGTGCTRATTTGTGCCCATGGCTCTGTGGGTTGCAAGGCAGCCCCACATCAATCCAGCCCCATCCTCAGTCCTAGACATCTCCTGTGAATCCCAGCCACCCAATCATTCCAGCCCCCCACCCCCAACCAATTCTCCCCCTTTCCCCCACCCTGAACCCCAGCAGCTGATTCCATACCAAACTTTTATTTGGTTGCCAGTGGCCACTCCGGGGCCAGAGGGAAGTGGCTGGTGAAGCGCAAAGCAGGGGCAGTGCTGGGCACCATGGGCAGTCCCTCCTGGCCTGCCCCWTYYCCCCCAGCCTTGAGGGGCTGAGTCCTAGGTTGGGCTGTACCCAGCRAGGGGACAGGGGCCCCACAGCCCCATTCCCTGGCAGCAGGGCCAGGCCACACACCATGCCTGTTTGGGGAGCTGCCCCAGGTAGGGGGGCTGCACTGGATTGGGGGCTGCCCAGAGGTTGGGTTGGTGAGGGGCTACCCTGGGTGGGGGTCTGGAGCTTGCAGAGCTCCAGTGCAGGCAGTGCCATCTGTACCGTGTGTCCATGGCTGGCTCAGGGTTAGGGGTGTCCTCTGCTCCCCTTGGCTCTAGGGCTAAAGGCACTTGGGGGTGGCGGGGGGTGCAAGGCAGTACTGGAGGGGGGAGGCACCTCCCCTCTACTTCTCCTGCATCTTCTCCAGGATGGGCACGATCATATCGAACTTGGGGCGCTTGGCTGGGTCCTCGTTCATGCATATCTTCATCAGCTTGCAGATGTGGGGGGAGATGCCAGGGGGGATGGTGGGACGTAGCCCCTCCAGTGCAACCTGTGAGYAAAAAGAGGGCCCAGAGTCAGGATTGGGACCTTGCTCCCACAGGCAGGGACACTTTCCACATGCCAGGTRCTTCCATACCCTGTCCAACCTGGCCTTGGACACTTCCAGGGATGGAGCAACCCAAGTTCTCTGGGCAACCTGTGCCAGGGCCTCACCACCCTCWATGGCCAGAACTTCTCCCCTAACTCTCAAATYACTTCCTTTGCTGCCCCCACCCTCTCACCTTCATACCAATCTCCATGTTAGACAGGTCAGCGAAGGGCACCTCACGTGTCACCAGCTCCCACAGCAGCACCGCGAAGCTCCACATGTCAGCCGAGCGTCGGTTGATCTCCTCTGGTTTTTTCTGCAGGGCTGGGGGATGGCTGGGGSTTGAGTGGGGCTGGGGGTGAGAGGGCCAGTCCAGGGTGCTGGGAATTGGCCACTTACCTTCGGGGGCCACCCAGGCCGGGGCGTACATCCGCCCTGGGCACTGGAAGGAGAACTTGACGTCAGCCATGCTGATTCGTGCTGTCATGTCCTCATCGATCTGGGGAGAGTGGGTGGTCAGCAGAAGCCCTCCTGTCTTGAGAGCCCCCTTGTCTTGGGAAGGCAGCTGTGCCCCCACTTACCATAACGCTGCGGCTGTTGAGGTGATGCCGTGGGATGAGGGGCTCCAGCGTGTGCAGGAAGGCCATGCCCCGTGCGATATCRAAGGCAAACTTCACTGCTTGCATCTGGTCCACCACAAAATCTGGGAAGGGGGTAACAGGGGGTCAACCCACCCTAAGCCCAGGGCTGTGGCTGGAGAGGCCCTGCTGGCCCCAAACACACTGTCCCCCCGCACTCACTGGTCCCTTCATGCAGGACGTTGTACAGGGAGCCATAGGGCATCCAGTGGCTGATGACGATCGGGTGGGGGGCTGGAGGGGCCTGGCACGCACCCAGCACTGGCAGCACATTGGGGTGGGAAAAGATCCTGCAAGAGAAGTGACAGCCCTGAGAACAGGGAGGGGCTGCCTGCACCCTCTTTTCTGCCCTTTGCCATCCCCCAGAGACTCCTAGCCTTGGCCACCACCCTGGAGCGTTCCTGGCCCCGYGGAGCCAGGCAGCTCTTGCCTGCCCCATACCCCCTTGGAGCTGCTGTTGGCCTGGGAAGGTGCCAGAGTGGCCCCAAGAAGGTGCTGGCATGGCCGGGGTCGAGTGCTGGTGGGAATCCTATGCATGTGCCAAGGTGGCTCCAGGCAGGTGCAGCACTCACCGCAGTTTTGGGTACTCCTCGTTGAAGTCCCGGCTCTTCCGCGTTGTCCAGTCCCGGATTTTCAGCATTTTGATTACTATGTCATTGCCCTGCCAGCGCCCCTTCCACAGCTGGAGAAGGAGCAGGAACACAGGCACCGTGAAAGGGGCACAGAGTTCCCAGCATCCCCAGGCCCCCACAGGGGGCTGAGGAGCCCCTGGAACCCATGGGACCAAGGGTACACARTAAGAGGAAGCCCCTTGAGCCAGATAGAAGCCCCATCCCTGCCCCTGGCCACAGGACCCCAGACTGGCTRTGCCCGGCTGGGCCAAGACACAGCGATCTGCATGGGCACAGCACCCACCTGGGGAAGGAGGGACCCACCTCTCCTGACTGGTTCTCATTCAGTTTCTGGCTCAGGCTCAGTTGTTTGAAGTCAATCCCAGCGAGTTTATTCAGGGTCCCATTCCCTACAGTAGAAGTGGATGGTGGATGGATGCCCGCRGCTGCTGGATCCAGGAGGCAGTGCCAGCAGGTCACAGGGGATCCGTGGCACCCCCCAAGGGACCCCTAGTCCTTACTGGGCCGGGTGCGGGTCGTGCCCTTCCAGAACGTGTCCTTGTAGGGGATCTTGGTGAGGCTCTGGCCCAGCTTCTCAGCACGCTCTGCAGAGGGAGGAGGAGGGGGGTAGCACCCAGAGCCTCCTGTAGCTGGCCAAAGGCTGCATCAGTTATGGGGTTCCGAGGGACTCTCGTACCTTTCAGGATGTCTCGCAGTGGTGTCTTGGCCTTGTCTGTGGGGGTCTCACCATATTTGTTAGCAATGCTGACTAGGGCCCCGCTGCCCACCAGGTCCTGTGGGAGCAGAGTGAGGGCTGTGGTTTGTGATCTTCTCTCAGTCCCCACCCCTCATCCYCTCTCCTGCCAATGCCCCCACTCACCTCAGCCACTTGCTCGTGTCCCCAGAAGCAGGCGTAGTGCAGCGGTGTGTTCCCGTGCTCATTCACTGCATTGATGTCCGCTTTGAACTGCATCAGCTGGGGATGGGGAACAGTCCCTGTGAGCCMAGGACTGTCCCTGTAAGCCCAGGCAAGATCCCCATGAGCCCAGGACAGTCCCYATCCTCCTTGTGCCTTGCTCTGAGGAATGCAGGGGCAGCACATTGGGAGCAGCACAYTGGGGAGGGGGCTGAGCTGCTGTGGGGCTCAGTAGGATTTGGAGGAAGTCTGTGAGGAGTGGGGAACTCAGAGGTGCTGGGCAGATGCCAGGTGTTTCCTGACRGAACAACTCCTGTGTGGGTAGTGCAGTGGGCTACAAAGGGGCTGGGGATGGGCAGGTGCTGGCACAGGGGACAGGTACCTTCTGCACGATGTCTCGGTGGCCGTGGCTGGCAGCCAGGTGCAGTGGGGTGTCATCCCCTCGGTTCATCACATTGATGCGAGCCCCCCGCATGATGAGCATGTCCACCACGTTTGAACGGCCCTCGCGGCAGGCCCAGTGCAGGGGGCTGAACCCATGGTCATCCCTGCAGGATGRTGGGGGGCCTCTGCTCAGATCTGACCCCCTGGCCCCCTGGCCCAGGCGTCCCCGGCATCATCCTCAGAACACCAGCCACAGGGGCCAAGGGACAGGGTTCAGCATCCATCCCACTCTCACCCACCCCCACCAGGGCCCCACCAGCCCAGGCCAAATCCTGTCTCCTTCAAGGCTGAATCACAGCCGGATCCTGTCCCCATCCCCCGCTTCCATGGCCAAGTAAGGGAGGAGGTGGCAGTCAGGCCTTAAATGGAGATCAGGAACTGGCAGAGGGGCTGCCGCAGCCCCAGCTCCCCTCCAGCCCAGGTTCTCCCCAGTTCCGGCCCCGCTCCAGCCCCCTGGCACAGCAGACCACATCTGCCCCCACCATGGCCCCGCAGAAGGGGTACCTTGGCACAGAACACCCCAGTCCCTTGCGCACCTTCTGTGGGTCTGGGAGAACTCCATGCGCCTGAGACCCCCAGGAGAAGCAAGGAGGCACAGCCAAGGAAGGCCATTTGTCTGGWGCATGTCCAGAATGCCACAGCCAGGGTCTGGCCAGGGTCGTGGTATGGGGTCAATCTGTGCCAGCTGCACMCGCTGCAGGCAGATGCTCCAAGCCCCACACCCAGCCCGAGCATGGCTCCTGAATGGCCATAAGCACATGCTGGACCCCACGGTCCTGCAGGACCCTGAAATGGGCTGTGGGGAGCAGACAGCTGGGCACACAGAGTGCCCTTCACAACTCCCATCTTCAGCGGTACYGGCTGTGTGCCCACGCATCTGCCATGGTGCTCCCCAGAGAGCRGATGGGGACATGAGGATATGGTCAACAGACACAGCTGCCAGCATGGGGACAGGGAAGGTTCCCCCGGCCCAGCTGAGCCTGGCTGTGGCCGCAAGGAAGTGGCCAGAGGATGTTCGGCCTCGTGCCTCAGCGATGCGGTAACTTCCTCCAGCGGGGAGGAGCTGTGTCCCGCTGCCTGCCCCCCGCCTTTCCATGGAGACCAGCGGAAACCAGACCCCAGCCCAGCCCTCCCAGCCTTGCACAGCCCCCCTGGCCCAGCCCAGCCCCACTCACCCCTGGTTGAGGTCATTCTCGGTGTTGTCCAGCCATAGCCGCACAGCCACCGCGTTACCCTCCCGGCATTGTGTGAAGATGTCATCCATGGCAGCTGCAGGAGGGGACGTGGGTAAGGACACCCTGATCCCCCTCAGCTGGGAGGTCCCTGGAACAGCATGTACAGGAGCCTCCTGGCCCCCTCCTTGTCCCTCCCACCGCATCCGTGCAGTGCTCCAGGAAGCCGCAGGCAAGCTGAGGTCCGGGCTGAAGCCAGACCAGCAGCCCATGGAGAAGCTCGTGGGTGACTCCAGCAGGACTGTGGCTACCCACAGGAAGACAGGCTGGCACCCTGGGCTTATCATGGGGCACAGCCGGCCCTGGTGGCCGCAGCTCCAGGGAAGAGCGAAGCCAAGAGAGCTCAGCACMCTCGAGATGGGATCTCACACATCTGGTGGGGGAATGAGGCCGGGGGAGCTCAGCATCCCTGGCATTGAATCCTGCTGCCCCATGACCCTCCTGACCCCCTTGGCTGGGCCTGACATGGCACCATGCTCAGAAACCGGGACCACAAGGCCCCACTCCCCTTGGATYGATGGACACCACAGTTCAGAGCCAGGCACAGAGCTCCCTCCTGCTCCCTGTGTCCCCCAAGACCCTGTCTGTGACTGTGGGAGCCCCTGTCTGGGGGTCTGTGGTGTTGAGCAGGGACATGGAGTGAGCCCCGCTGGGGACACAGATTGAATATAACGTATGATGTGCAGCCATCAGGGTTCAAACCTGCCACTGCTGGACCCCCCCCAGGGCCTGATACCCACCCAGACACAGAGGGACCCCCACCAGCTGACAGCRCCTGCAGCTGCCCCCAAGAACTCTGCCTGCACCCCCTGCCCCAGGCAGCTCTGGAGGGGTGGGACTGCCAAGCCCTGGACCCCTCCCAGGGTCTTATAGGCCCCAGAATGGCCCCAGCACATCCATGGCAGCATTGACCCTATCCTGGCTGCAGAATACTCGCAGTCCCGGATGAGATTTATACCCCACCCATCTGGGGGCACCCCAGGAAAGGGGGTACCTAAGACATCCCACACCAGTCCTAATCCTGTGGGACCTCACCCTGCTGTCACCGCAGTGATGACACCCCACCAGGGGACACCCCACCCTGTCCCCTGCTCAGCCCGGAGCTGCGCCCTCCTGTCAGGCACCGGGCCCTACCCAGTCCCGCCGGGCTGCCAGGACCGCCCAGCCCCAGCCCTGGCAGGATGGCCATGCGCCCACCTCGGCCCTGCTCAGCCCCGGGGCAAGGGACGGGATGTGGAGACACAGTCCCCCCATGTTACACCAAATCAGCTGCTAGGGCTCCGCTCTGCCCTGCGGCCCCATCAGTCCCTCCCCTTCAGCCCCCACAATCCCTCCCCTGTACCCCCAAACCTCTTCCCTGTACCTCCAAACTCTTCCCTGCACCCCGCACCTCTCCTCTGCAGCTTCCCACCCGGCCCCGGCAGGTCCCCCTCCGCCTCAGCCCCCGCTTCGGGTCGCCCGCAGCCGTACCCAGGTCTCCCCCAACCCCTCCCCGCTCGGTGCSGGTCCCGTCCCGCCGTTACCGGGTGCGTGTCCCGGCGGCTCCGCAGGGCGGCGGCTGCGGCGGGCGCGGGACAGCGCGGGGACTCCTCCCCAAGGTGGTGCCCCCTGCCGGCCGGAACCCGCACCGGCCACGGCCGCACCGCACGGCACCGGACAGAGCCACCGGGCGGGGCCACCGGGCGGGGCGGGGCCACCGGGCGGGGCGGGGCCACCGGGCGGGAGCGCGGTCACGGGGGTGGGGGTGGGGGCATGGAGCATAGGGCGTGCCAAATTGTCGGGGGGGGAGCGGTTATCCTGCCGGGGATGGGGCGGGGCGTCCGCGGCCCCACCCCTGCAGCCAAGGCCCCCGGCCGGTCCTCCGGGCCGCAAGGTGGGCGCTGTTCCCGCGGCGCGTCTCGGGCGGCTGCACGTGGGTGTCGGTCCCGACCCAGGGTCCCCGCTCCATGTTCGCGGAGCAGGGCTGGAACGATGCGGTGGAGCCGCGGGGCTCGGGCCTGCCGGTAAGCGGGTGATGGAGGGCTGCGGGCCGCGCCAGTCCCGGGCGYGCGGCATTGACGGCCCGCACCCTGCATAGGGCCCCGCGGCGGGGAAGAGGCGGCTGTCCGGGAGCGGCTGGGACGGCGAGGCGGTGCGGAAGCGGCCCCGGAAGCGGAGGAAGGCCGGCGGGCCGCGGGCTGTGACGGGGGACYTCCCGGCCGGTCCCGAGGAGCCCCGGGAAAGTGGGCAGCGCCCGGACACAGGTAGTGGGGCGGCTCCAGAGCACGGCGGGCAGCAAGGAGCCGCCTGCTTGCCCTAATCCTCTTCTCGATGCCCTCAGGTGGCCCGACTGAGCCGGCGGGGCTGAGCCGGAGGCAGCGACGGAACCGGCAGAAGCGGCAGCGGCAGCAGGAGCCGCCGGCGGGGTTGAACGCAAAGCGGGGCTCGGGTCCGGGCCCCCCGGACCCGCCGAGCCCCGCGGAGGCTCCTCCGGAGCCCCGCTCGGGCCGGTCGGCGGCGCTCCGCGCGCGAATGGAGGAGCGGCTGCTCGGCGCCCGGTTCCGGTATCTGAACCAGCAGCTCTACACTGGGAGCAGTCAGGACGCGGCGGAGCTCTTCCGCGCCGACCCCGCCGCTTTCCACCTGTACCACCGGGGCTTCGAGCGGCAGGTGCGGCGCTGGCCCGAGCGCCCCGTGCAGCGCATCGTGCGCTACCTGCGCCGCCGGTGAGCGGAAGGGCCAGGGCTAAGGGAGAATATGGACCGGAGGGGCCGGTGAATGGGGCCSGGGGGATGGACCGAGGAGCGCGCCAACGGGGGATGGCCGGGGGGCCGGCGAGCGGCGGGGCCAAGGGGTGAGCGGTGTGGCCGGGGCATGACTGGGGGACCGGTGAGCGGTTGGGCGGGGGAGTCGTGGGGACGGGAGGTGGAGYGGGCACGGCACTGGGCCGGACCGTACCGTTCTGACCCCGCTGCCCCTGCCCCAGGCCCGCATCGCTGGTGGTGGCGGATTTTGGGTGCGGGGACTGCACGCTGGCCGCCAGTGTCAAGAACCAGGTGCACTGCTTCGACCTGCTGCCACTGAGTCCGCGGGTCACCGTCTGTGACATGGCAAAGGTACTGGGGGCACTCCCGGCATAGGGAGTGGGTGCTGCTTGGCAGGYTGCAGGGGTGCAGGTGGGGGGATAGTGACCCCGAGGACCCCATGCGGGAGGGGCAGCACAGGTGTGTCTGTTGGAAAACTGGGGCATTCCTTGGGCACCCAGAGATGGGGCATGGCTGAACTCACAAGCCTGGAGACTYTGGGGGCTCTGCCCAGCCCCATCAGTATCACCATCCTCCACCTGACGGAGGTATGCAGAGGGGCTGCCAGGCCATGTCATCATTCTCCTCCGGGGTGTCCCGGGGTGGGCAGGTGCCCCTGGCAGCTGAGTCGGTSGATGTGGCTGTGTTCTGCTTGGCGCTGATGGGCACCAACCTGCAGGAGATCCTTGGAGAGGCCAACCGTGTGCTCAAGCTCAGGTAGGCAGAGATTATGGGGCTGTAGGGGACTGGGAGAGGAGCAGGGATGCTGAGCAGTGTCCTGGGGAGACCTGAATGCCCTGCTCAGAGCTCAAATGACTGCAGGGGCACCCTGATGGTGGCCGAGGTGGCCAGCCGCTTTGAGGACATCCGTGCCTTCCTGAAGGCCATGATGCAGCTGGGCTTCAGGACTGTCTCCAAGGTGTGTGCCCTCAAGTGTGCCTAGGGCTGGGCACTGGGTGCAGCAGGAACAGGGGAGCCCAGGAAAGAAGCCCAAGGAGTATTATGTCCCAGCCTGGTGCTGAGGGGAGCAGACATGGTATCAGTGAAAACAGACGGGGTGGAAGGAATTGGTGCATGGGAAATTGCACATGGGAGAAGGGAGGGACCTGTACACACAGGGGTGGAGTTCTGGGGGAAGATTTGGAAGTCCTGGGGCCCATGGGGGATGGGCTGTGGCAGTTTGGGATGGGGTGCTGGGGTCTGGGAGGGGTTAAAGGGGTCTGGGGCACACTGGGATTGTACTGTGGGACCCAGAGGTGGGAGTGAAGCCCAGGAAGGGGTTGGGGGTCCCAGGGCCTGGAGAAATTGTGGGGGTTGATGATGGGTGTGGAGCATTTTGAGGAATACATCGGGGTCTGCGGTAGTCAGGGCACACAAAGGCTTTGAAGCCAGGGTTTGGGYAAAAGAGGGCTCTGGGGCTTACTGAGGCTGCAGTGTCAGGCCGGCAGTGAGTGGTGCTGGAGGGGGCTGGGGGTTCCGGGTTCCATGATGACAAAGGGTGTCCCCGCGCCTCCAGGACCTCTCCAGCTCCTACTTCTACCTGTTGGAGTTCGCCAAGACAGGCCCGGCCCGGCCGGACCCCGTTCCCGGGCTGCGCCTGCTGCCGTGCCTGTACAAGCGGCGGTGACCGGGAGGGGCGGGGCCRCGCTGCTYGGCCCCGCCCCTCCCGCCCTCGGCCCCGCCCCTCCCGCCCTCGGCCCCGCCCCTCCCGCAATCACCAATAAAGCCGCTGTTTCCTCATAGCTGCGCGTGCGCCTCTGCAGGGCGGGCGGGGCTGGAGGAAGTGGCGAGGCCGCGCGTGCGCGGTGCTGTCGGGCCTGCGCGGCGGCAGCGCCCGGGGCCGGTACCGGGATGTCGGGGCCGGGCGGGCCGGGCCCCGCCGGGGCCAAGCTSGACATCAACCGTGCCGGTGTGGCCGAGCTGGAGGGTGCCCTCAGCGGCATCGGCCGCCGCCGCGCCCGCGGTATCGTCCGCAAGAGAGAGGTGCGGAGGGGAGCGGCGGGGACGACAYCCCGCGCTGAGCGACCTAGCCCCGGGACCTCGAGGCGGGGGTGTCGGTGGTGGTGTGGGTCGCGGGGTGGGGGCTGCGGGGCGAGTGCAGGGGCGACGGTGTCGTTTCCGTCCCGGTAGCTGGGACAGGCGGGGCCGGCCCGGGATCCCCGGGTCTCGCCCCGAGCTCGCGGCGCCGGGCGAGCGCAGCTGCYCCCGGTGCTGCCGTTCCTTGCGGCCGGTCCAGGCAGCGCCCCGGGTCGGAGGAGGGAATGGGGGAAACGYGGGTTCCGACGGGACGGGCATCTCCCCCCGACCACCTGAGAACGCTGTCACCGGCGATGATGGGGCGGAAAGTGCTTGCGGGGAGACCCTGCGGCGACCGGTGACATGRCCGGGGGCAGCGGGAGCGGCACCGCGGACCCCAGCCCGGCTCGTACGGGCGGGTCAGCGGCAGCCCTGCCCTCCTGCTGTGGGGATGGGCAGCGCCGCGTCCGGACAGGGCAGGGCTGGGAGCGCTTGGCGTGTTTTGGACTGGAAAAGCGGGGGTAAAGGGGTGGGGGCAGCTGGGAACACCGGGAAGGGGGAGGGCAGAAGCCGGTAACACAAGAGGAGGGCGGCTGAAGCAGGCCCTGTCCCGGGCGGTGCTGCTAGTGCAGCACTTCGTGGGAAGCAGCAGCAGCAGCGCCTGCCCTGCCGTAAATCGAAGCCTGCCGTGTCTGAAGGGCAGACTGGGCCCTTCCCGGGCCCGGGGCCCGCGCTGGTTCTCCGCCGGTCCTGCTTTGGGTCAGCCCAGCCCCATCGGGTTTATCCCACAGCAGGTGCTCCGGAAGCCCTGGGGTGAGGGGAGGCATCTGATCCCAAGTCGGGCTGGGAGGTGCTCGGGCTGAGTTCCCGCGGGATGGTATGTGTCTCACACACGTMTGTGTTTGAGTGTGTTCAGAGCTGTCCCTCTGCCCTGGAGCTGCAGCCTCACTCCCCATGCGTGCACTGCTCACCTGCGGGGCACAGTGCTACTAGCCCAGGTGGCACTTTTGGGCTGCTGCCCCGCTTTCACAGCTGCCCCGGTGCTGTGACTGTTCCCTGTGGGGCCGCTCGGGCAGGGGGCTCTTTGGGAGCAGGAGGGATTCTGTTCTGGGCAGGGCTGACTTCCCTCCGCGCAGGAGCTGAAGGGCTTCACTTGCTTGGATGACCTGCTACATGTCAAGGGCATTACCACACGCATCCTGGAGCTCAATAGCCAGCGCATGACGTGCCGGCGGCGCCCGGGCCCYGAAGGGCCTCCACAGACCAGCCCAAATCCCCTGGGGGACAGGGAGGACCACAGGGCACCTGCAGCACAGGTAGGTGCAGAAAGATCCCCTTGTCACAGGTGCAGTGACAAGGGAGGAGGTCTGGTTCTGGAGGGACTCAGGGAAGAAGCTTTTGGGTAGCACAGACAGAACTGCACTGGGTTCTGGAGTTCATGCCTGTGAGTCTGGGAGTGCTCTGCTCTGTGTCTGTCCACAGTGCTGTTGAGCAGAGCCCCTGTGCTCCGGGACCATGGCTCTTGCTGGCAGCCATCCAGCAGTACCCCTGGCCTTCCCCTGTTCCTGGTCTCCAGCAGCCCAAGGCTGATGCAGAGTGACCCCTGCCCTTTGCCTCTTCCCTGCTCAGGTGGTGGCCGAAGAGGAGGAAGAGGAGGAGGAGGAGGAGGAAGCTCCAGGGCCCTGGGAGCCAGAACGCCCCTGGAAGGGCACCCCCAGGTCTGGAGCAGACCCCAATGGCTCCAGGGGACAGGGGCTACAGGAGCCCCCCAGGTCTACCAGGGAGCAGGAGGAAGAGGAAGAAGAAGAAGAGGAGGAGGAGGAAGAGGAGGAGGAGGAGGAAGAAGGGAGCTGTTGCAGTGAGGAAGGGGAAGACAGCAGCAACATATACCTGTACTACACCCTGGGAGAGCGCTGGATCGACTACCTGCAACGCACTGGCGAAGGGGGGCTGCTGAGGCACCTGCGCCCCAAGGTGAGTGGGGTGCCAGGGACTGCTGAGACATTTAGGGCACGTGTCGGAGGGAAAAGTGGGGGCTGGAGGCTCCATGATACCTGACTGCTGGCATTGGGGAAAGAGGTGCTGCCCCAGTCCCCCATGCAGATCCCTGCCCTCTGTGGRGGTTCTTGGTCATAGTGAAGGAGATGCTGCCACAATCTACCCCAGTCGCTAGCCCTGCCTGGCCCTGGTGCAGTTCCCCCACCCTGCATGGGGATCCCTTGTTGGTGTATGGACCCTGAAGGGGGAAAGCAGGAACAGGTGRGGGTCTGCCCCATAGATGTGAGCAGGGGCCTTGCAGGAGTCAGTTCTGAGGGGGGGATATGCAGGAGTCTGCAGGGAGCAGCTCTGGGCAGGGTGCCTGCAGGGGTCTGCCTGGGTTTGCCCCAGCCGCTCCAACGTACTGTGTTCCACAGATGAAGCGGAAGTCAGAGAACGGGCCAGACGGCCGGGCCTTGTCTCCYGGGAAGAAGCTGTGCAAGGGCTCTGACTATGGCAGGTGAGGTGTGGCGGGGGCTCTGAGTGCAGCAGGTAAAAGRGTTTTTGTGTGCTGGGGCAATGTGTACCTTTTGCCCACACCCGGAGGATGATGGAGCTGCCTGGGTTGAACATGGACTGGATGTGGGCAAGGGGTCAACARGGTGGAAGCAAGGAGAAGGGGTCAGTGGGGTGGAGCTCCCACTGGTGGGAACCRCTTCCTAGAGCCTCTGGCGTGTGGCCTGGGGCACTGCTGGCATATGCCACCTGTGCCACAGCCTCACCTGTGCCTGTTCTTTTTCCCAGGACGTTGGGTCCATGCACACCCAGCCCCACCACCACCTTTGGGGACCTGCGCAACGCCAAGGTGGGACAGGCCCGGCGCCGCCGCATCCCCTCAGTGGCCCCCCCRCCTGAGCTACAGGACTGGCTCCGCACCTTCCAGGTACAGCTCACCTGGTGGCTCCAGGCAGCCTGGGTGTGATGGGAAGGAACCAAGCCTAAGGGATCCCCACTTATCCCCTCCCACTATGGGGAGGGGTTGGGCCTGTGGTGGATTTTGGGTGTTTTTGATTGGGTGAGGAAACACAGAGGAGGTTTCAGCCCTGGCCAAGGTGGTGTCACTTGTCACACAACACCTGTGACCCACTGCCTGTGACCCAACTCCCATCTGGCTCTGGCTCTGGGCCTGGGGCAAGAGCCCTGGATGCCAGGGCTGTGGCTGGGCTGGCTGAGGACACAGAGCCAGGGGTCACTTGGGGACTCCCTGCAGCGCTGGAGYGGCCCTGAGAAGCTGCTAGCCCTGGATGAGCTCATTGACCGCTGCGAGCCAGCGCAGATCAAGTACATGATGCAGGTCATCGAGCCGCAGTTCCAGCGGGACTTCATCTCCTTGCTGCCCAAGGAGGTGAGTGGAGTTGGGGAAGCAAGGGCCAACCTGACCTGATCTCCTTGGTGACCTCTCTGTGACCCTTATCCACCCTGCAGCTGGCCCTGTATGTCTTGTCCTTCCTGGAGCCACGGGACCTGCTCCGTGCTGCCCAGACTTGCCGCTACTGGAGGGTCCTGGCCGAGGACAATCTGCTCTGGAGGGAGAAGTGCCGTGAGGAAGGTGAGGGTCCTCCCGGGTGGGTGCTGGCGCTGGGCACCCCAGGCTTGACCCAGGTAAAGCACCCCTTTGTTGTCCCCTGCAGGAATTGAGGAGCCCCTACACCTTCGGAAGCGTCGYCTTCTCAGCCCTGGATTCATGTACAGCCCCTGGAAATTTGCCTTCCTGCGCCAGCACCGCATCGACATGAACTGGCGCAGTGGGGAGTTGCGACCCCCCAAGGTAGGTCTGGGGGGATCCCAATGGGGACAGACTCCAAGGAGCTGTGRTCCCCAAGGTGGGCCTGGGGATGTCTCTGCTGGGGGCAGATCCTGGAGCGCTGAGAGGCTGATGGGGTCCCTCTGGGGGCAGGTCCCCAGTCACTGATGTGGGGAAGGCTGGTTTCATTCAGGTTGGGSCCTGACACCATCTTGTGCAGAGTAKTGGGTGCAGCAGAAATGAGGTCTTGTGGGTCTGGAGAAGGGGACTTGCTCCCTTGTCCCTCTCCAAGGCCCCATGCAGGACTGTAGCCAGCCCCAGCACCCAGGAAAAGTGCAGTCTCCCAGGGCTCAGCTGTGTTCTGTGCAGCGTCCCAGAACCCTAGGGATTTCTCCCTGGGAGTCTGTCCTGCTCCTGGCTAGACTCCCCACTACCCCTTCTCTTGCTCCTGCAGGTCTCAGGTTCCTGAGCCCCCCACTCCCTGTACCCCAGTAGCCCCCTGCCCCTGTGCAGCAGCTGCCAAACACACCACACACCCYAGCTCTGCTACCCTGCAGAAGCGCCAGGGGGTGCAGGTGATTTGGAGACCCGTCTGCCTTTCTTCCCCACAGCTCCTGCTACCTTCCCACCACTCATTGTGCTGGGAGGTCCTGCGGGCTGGAGGTCAGTCACTGCCCCCCATACCTATGCTCCTGCAGGTACTGAAGGGCCATGATGACCACGTGATCACCTGTCTGCAGTTCTGYGGGAATCGCATCGTAAGCGGCTCTGATGACAACACACTCAAAGTGTGGTCAGCTGTCACGGGGGAGGTGAGTGGTCTTCTCCAGGACACTGGCATCAAAGGGGTCTGGGGCAGGGACCACACCCCTGTGCTGGGTACAGGTGACGCCACACCTTGATTCCTGGGGTCAGTTTGGGCCTTTTATGTTAAGAACATTGAGTTGTGCTGCTCTTCTGTGTTTGAGGAGTGCAGAGATGTGCGAGGCTCACCTGTCTCTCACRTCCTGTCCCCCACAGTGTGTGCAGACGCTGGTGGGCCACACTGGGGGGGTCTGGTCCTCCCAGATGAGGGACAGCGTTGTCATCAGTGGCTCCACTGACCGCACACTCAAGGTGTGGAACGCTGACAGCGGCGAGTGCGTGCACACTCTGTACGGACACACCTCTACCGTGCGTTGCATGCACCTGCACGGCAACAGGTATGGGGTAGGTGGGTGCTATGTGAAAGGGGGATATCCACAGCAGGTGAGGCTTGTCACCCTCAGGCTGCCCTGCCAGCTGGGCTCCAGATGTCCCCTCACCTGCAGGGTGGTGAGTGGCTCCCGGGATGCCACACTGCGGCTCTGGGACATCGAGACGGGGCAGTGCCTGCACGTGCTGATGGGGCAYGTGGCAGCCGTACGCTGTGTCCAGTATGATGGCAACAAGGTGGTCAGTGGTGCCTATGACTACACGGTCAAGGTGTGGGACCCCGAGAGCGAAAGCTGCACCCATACGCTGCAGGGGCACACCAACCGCGTKTACTCATTGCAGGTATGGCCACACRCGCATCCCSTCCCGCTGCCTTCCCCCTCTCCAGCTCMCTGCCCTCCCTGCTCCCTGCAGATAAAACCTTGCAGGTACAACTTGCCCTCCTGCTGGCTTGCCCTATGATTCCCCTGCCTTCCAGTGGTGGGGCACAAGCTGTGCCAAAGGTCCCACATGTGCTGTAGGAATAAATGGGCCATGTCGGTGTCATGSAGGGCCCTGTGTTCCTTTCAGGGACATGTGGGCCATGTCTGTGCCCTGAAGGGATGTTACCTGCCATGCAAGGACACATGGACCATGTCCTGTGGGGACAGTCTCTGCCTCCCTGTCCCTGCTTCCCACAGACATAGGCCGTGGACACACACCCTCCTCTATGTCCCTTCCCTGGAGCATTTCTATTGGCCAGAAAGCCAAGGGCTGTGTGAGCCCTTGGCTCAGCTGCACAACTGGGGTTTCTGCTGGTAGYAGTGGAACTGGGCGTGCTGCATCCCAAACCAGGGAATGCCAGAGCTGTGGGGCCAARCCCCAAAGCAGGGGACACTCCTGGCCTCGATGCTGAGCTGGACCTCATCTCTCTGGCAGTTCGACGGGACGCACATCGTGAGCGGGTCCCTGGACACATCAATCCGCGTGTGGGATGTGGAGAGTGGGAACTGTCTGCACACACTCATGGGGCACCAGTCACTCACCAGTGGKATGGAGCTGCGTGACAACATCCTCGTTTCTGGCAACGCCGACTCCACTGTCAAGATCTGGGACATCAAGACGGGGCAGTGCTTGCAGACACTGCAGGGTGAGCGGGGATTCCTCACCCTTGGGGAGCAGTGGGAAATACACTCCTGCAAGGGTCTGGGAGGGGGCAGCTTTCTCCCTTGGGGGAGTGGGAGAGGATGGGATGCCCTTCAGGCTAGAGTGGCTCCAAGCTGCCAGACGTGGCTGGAGTAGTGGGTGTCCCTGAGGGGCCAGGGCTGGGTGGCTCTGAGCTGCCAGATGTCGCAGGACGGATGTCACACAGCAGTAGGTGCCCCAGGTGCAGCTGGGGCTTACCAGTGCTTCCCCATAGGTCCCAGCAAGCATCAGAGTGCTGTCACCTGCCTGCAGTTCAGCTCCAAGTTTGTGGTGACCAGCTCGGATGACGGGACAGTGAAGTTGTGGGACCTGAAGACAGGAGAGTTTGTGCGGAACCTTGTGGCCCTKGAGAGTGGAGGCTCTGGGGGAGTGGTGTGGCGCATCCGTGCCTCTAAYACAAAGCTGGTGTGCGCCGTGGGCAGCCGCAACGGCACGGAGGAGACCAAGCTGCTGGTGCTGGACTTTGATGTGGACCTTAAGTGACCCCGGCCAGCTCAGGGGTCCCGCGGGAGGGGTGGCCCCGGCGCAGGCGCTGGCCCCCGCGGGCAGGACAGAGGGGGACGCCTGGCCAGGCCTTATTTATATGCGCGGGAGTGCCTGGCCAGGCCTGCAGAAGCATGTTTTGTACACAGAATATATCAGTTTATTTCTGTACTGGGGCTAGTGCTTGTGTGCCCCAAGCGCTGTCCTGCAACTCATACCCTCTGAYGAGGGGTAGCAGCAGGGAAAGGCCAGGCTCTCCCAGGTGTCACAGGCCCCAGGGAACAGCTCTCCTTGCACACGTGCCCTTAGCTGATGAGCACTGGCCTGGCTCCACCTGATGCCTACCCCCACCCCCTCCCTGCCCCATCTGAGTGCCTGCTCCTCACCAGCCATTTCTAGTGAGGATGATCAGGGACCCACTGTGGCCTGGTGACCATGGGCATCTTCCACAGCGATGTTTGTCTCACCCTGGTGGAATTCCCTGCATTCCCAGTTGTGCCGTGGGCTCCCCCCAGCACACCTTTGCCTCAACAGGGACCCAGGGAACAGCGGTCAGGGCTCTGGTGCCCTCCCCATGTGTCACACCAGCCCACTACTGAAAAGATGTTTTATTAGGACTAATAGTCAAATTCTCAGAAATCCACACCCACGAGGGCCAGGGGGCTCTCCCCCTGTTCCTGTGCCCCCCATCCACCATGCTCTGCATGGCCCAGCTGTTGCTGGGGGCGCCTGGGGCCACGTGCAGATGCTGCTCCAGCCTGGAGCTCTGGCGCGACAGCGCTGCTGCTGCTCCTGCTGGTACCGTTGCATCCCACCACCGCCAGAGGAAGCTGTGGCCAGGTGCTGCTATGTGCCGGCAGCGGGAGCGTCTGGCAAGGACTCCGCGGGGCCCGGGTCCGAGTCAGGGGAGGCCGGGAGTGCGGATGGCCCCACTGRTGCTCCGTGCTCGGCTGCACGGCGCTGCAGCAGCGCCGGCACCAGTCCCACGTAGGCGCCCATCAGGCGGTGGTTGGCGCGGACCAGCCTCGCGGCACAGCTGTCCAGGCACGACTCCTGCGGGAGAATGGGGTCACGGGGCGTGGGGACAGCCGCCCYCCAGCCCCCCGTGCCCCGCTCACCTCGCGGCCCGTGAGCAGCCGGTAGTTAAGGTTGCAGACACAGTGGCGGAAGCAGAGCTCGGTCATGCGGTTGTAGACCAGCAAGAAGTCCCGCAGCTGGGAGGCAGGCGAGGGTCACGCCGGGCGGAASCGGTCCGTGACCCCCGAAACCCATCGGGAAAACCGGCGTGCTCCCCGGCCAGCCCGAGACGCTCGAGTCCCTTTCAGGACCCAGCGGTACTCCTACGAACCCGGGACCTCGAGATGCCATACCCGGAGCCCTTGGGACACGCGGGGACCCGCCACCAAACCAACACACCCGGGACCACCCATGAAGGCTTCGCGGGACGCCCCGGCTCCCCACCCACGGCCCAGCCGCTCACGCTGCGGAGCTGCTGCCGGTGCTCGGCTGCCGGGTCCATCCCGGGCCCGGGCTCGCTCCGTCCGCGCCAAGCTCGCTTAGACGTCACTTCCGTCCCGCTCAGAGATGACGCCATTTCCGGGCCAGTGACGCTGCTTCCGGTGCGTCCGGGCCGAGGCGGACCGGGAGCGGCGCGGGGGGGCCCGGCGGGGCCGGGGCGCAGGTGGGGCCGGGGGTGGACCGGGGAGGTTGGACAGGGTGTGCAGCCGCGGGGCCGGTGCAGTCTGGCTGGGAGAGCCCCAGGAGCGAGGCTGCGGCCGCCGCCGCACGCTCGGGCCGGTTCCGCCGGGAGCAGCCGCCGGAGGTTCCCGGGGAGGTCGGTCCCGCCTCGGGGCTCGGCCGTGCGTGGCTGCGGAGGGGTCCGTTCCGACGCTGTCCCGGCCCCGCCCCGGAGGCTTCAGGGGCTGCGGGTCCGTTCTCCGGCGGGGATGGCGCTGGGCGGTGACAGCCTCTGCCCGCAGGGTTCGGCCCCAGAGCTGGGCCGGGCCGTGTCCCTGCCGGGAAGGGGACAGGTCACAGGTAACGGGTTCTCGGGAGCCCGCCCCAGGCCCCGCCTGCCCTGGAATGTGCCCGGACCGGTCTGGGCGCAGCGGGGCCCCCCTCCGCGCGCCTGCGGCTGCGGACGTGGCTCCCGGCGCCTTCCTGCTGGGGCTGGGCCGGGTGCTGCTAGCGCCGGTGTCCCCGGGCAAGGCCTGCGGGACGCGGGGATCCCCGGCGGGGTTTGTGAGAGGGGCGCGGAGTGCGACCCTAAGAGCAGCAAAACCTGAGAGTCCTGGGCAAGATGGGGTGGGACCTATAGTGGGGTCGGGGTCTCTAGGATGCGCCAGGGTCCGTTTTGAGAGCCYGGATTGTCCCGAGAGACGGCCGGGCTGGGTTGGGCAGTGGCTGCAGGAGGCCCTGGGCAGGTGGTAGAAGCGGCTTAGTGCCAGCAGCTGCCAGTRTCTGGGCCCCTTCCCTGCGACCCCCTGTGACCCTCTTGCTGTCCCCTTCCACTGTGGTCCCATGGGTACTGGCTGGTGCCACTGATTTCCCCCAGAACCACATCTGTGTCCCTGCAGGCCCTGAGGATGTCAGACGGGATCCTGAGCAAGGCAGCCACCATGGAGATCCCCATCAGCAGCAAYGGGGACACCAGCAGCCTGCCCGAGGACGATGGCCTGGAGCAGGTCTGGGGGCCGGGGACCCCAGGGGGGTGTTTGGGGCTATACCAGCACTGTGCTGTCCCTACATCTCAGCCACCTGTGCTTGTGTGCCCCCCAGGACCTGCAGCAGGTGATGGTGTCAGGGCCCAACCTGAATGAGACCAGCATTGTGTCAGGCGGCTATGGGGGCACAGCTGAGGGCATCATCCCCACTAGCACCATTAAAGGTAATGGGGCTGGGCTGGGAGGGAGCGGGGCATCATCATGGGAAGAAGGGGCTCAGCTCCCCTCATTGCCCTCCACTTCTGACACAAGGCTCTGCCATGGCCCAGCCAAGGTGTCTCCTGAGGGGCCTCCATTCCCACTAGGCTTGGGTCTTGTGCAGGGGCAACATGTGGGGGTGTGTGCTGATGGCAGAGAAGGGGCTGCTGTCCCCAGCCCCGCTCTCCCTGGACCAGGTTGCTCCCCTATTGTAAGGTGGAGTTTCTGCTGGGGATTCTCTGCCATCTTGGTCAGGACATCCCAGTGGGATTTTGAGTCCCTCATCTGGTGGAGGATCCCAGCTCTGTCCTAGTCCAGATAGCAGGAGCTCTGGARTGCACTGGGGATAGGGGGGCAGGCAGGGGGCCCCAAGTCCACTCCCCACTGACCGCTTTTTACTGTCCCTGTCAGACTAAGCCATAGTGGGGCCAGCTGGGCTCTGCACCCTGAGAGACCTGGCACCGCGGTCCTTGTTCCATGCATGTCTGTCCCTGAGGGTCCTCCCAGGGACCTGTCCCCTGTGCCCACAGGGCTCGATGAGAGTCCATATGATCAGAGTGCATGTGTGCGTGCGCTCCCCCAGAGCACCGCCACTGCTGGCCCTTGTCCCCATGCCTCTGTGTCCTCACATCCCCATCACACCAGGCCTACCTATCTCTTCTGGTGCAGGGATTCCTGCACGGAGGCCAGAGGCAGAGTGGGGGAGGTTCCCTAGGGTGGGGGGAGTCCATCTGTTTGGCTGTAGCCATGTCTCTGGATTCCGACGCTCACCTGCTCCCATCRCTCTCCTGCTGCCGCCCGCCCACGCACTCGTCCCTGTCCCCTCTGCCCTGGCCACCCCACCGTCCCATGCCCTGTGCCCCCTATCCTGTCCTGCCCCCTCCTGCTCGGCCCCTGCAGACCCCCTGTTTCCAGGCTCTCTTGTCCACCCTCACCCCCACCGAGGACCGTCGGTTCCCCCCAGTGCGCCTGCTGCCCGTAGGATGGCCCGCCCGGCCGCTGCTCCCGCAGGTACTGCGYCCCTCACTCCACCTCAGGGCCTCTGTTGGGTCTGGGGACCTCAGGCCTCCCCAGAGACTTTGATAAGAGCCCCCATGGCAGCTGTGTCATGGCCAGAGCCCCATCCTGGTGCTGATCCTTTGCTGGGAGAGAGGACAGCACTGATGGGCCATGGGGGTGCTGAGGTGAGTCGTGGCCAGGTGGGCCCAACCTGCCACTGGAGCATACCAGCAGCATTTCAACTTTCAGGTGAAAGTCCCCTGGTGCTGCCAGGCGCTGTTCCCCTGTGTCTGGCCTGGTGAGGGTGGTTAGCAGGATGGGGCAGGGTCCGGGCCTTGCTGTGTAAGCAGACATGGCTGGGCTGGGGTCTGTGCCCCTGTGTGGGACCCTCAGGGAGACTGGCAGGAGCAGGGTCCCCGCCATGATACCTGTGAGCCAGTGCTGGGCATGTGCTCAGAGCTGGGGATGCTAYTGTGGAAACAATGGCTCAAGAGCAAGGCCTACAAAGGCTGGGGCTGCCCAGTCTCCTGTGGCTGCTGTCCTTCTGGAGCTGGTGCTAGGTCCTGTCCCCATCCCTGTTCCTGTGCCAGGCTCTGGGCTGCACCCACCACCCCCTGGACCCCCACCTGGCGGGGAGGAGGTCGTGCGTGGTATTGCCGTCGAGAAGTTTGACATTGTCAAGAAGTGGGGGATCAACACCTACAAGGTGAGGGGTGAGGGGACCCCAGGGTGGGGGGACGTCAGTGGGACTTTCTGACCCCCGTCCCACAAGCAGCTGCTTTCAGAGTGGTTTGGGGGAGTCACACTTGCCTTGGGGGGCCCCCCTGGTTCCCTCCCTGCCTGCAGTGCACCAAGCAGCTGCTCTCGGAACGGTTCGGACGGGGGTCCCGCACGGTGGACCTGGAGCTGGAGACACAGATTGAGCTGCTGCGTGAGACCAAGCGCAAGTACGAGAGCGTCCTGCACCTGGCACGGGCACTCACAGCCCACCTCTACAGCCTCGTACAGACCCAGCACGCTCTGGGTGACGCCTTTGCCGACCTCAGCCAGAAATCCCCTGAACTCCAGGTGTGCCAGCGCTAGGGGGACACTGGTGTGAGGGCTGGGGGAATGGGGAGTGCCAGGACTTGGAGGGGACACCTGGATACTGGGGCTGGCAGGGCAGGGGCAGCTGTGTCTTGGCACTAGGGCTGAAGGGGATCGGGACTTGGGGGGACACACTTGGATACCAGGGTAGGGGCAGTATCTGCACAGGGGTGGGTGCTTAGCGCAGTGCTGGGCTGGGTCGGTGCTGGGTCATGGTTGGGCTCAGGGGCTCTCAGTGCTTTTCCTGCAGCGCCCTTGATGGAGGGGAGTGGAGCTGTGAGCCATGGCCCCTCACCTGTGCCCCTGTTTTTCTGTCCCAGGAGGAGTTTGGGTATAATGCAGAGACGCAGAAACTGCTGTGCAAGAACGGGGAGACACTGCTGGGTGCTGTCAACTTCTTTGTGTCCAGCATCAACACGCTGGTCAACAAGACCATGGAGGACACACTCATGACAGTCAAGCAGTATGAGACGGCAAGGTGGGTCAGGGGCTCGGGGGGCTCAGGGGTCCTGGGGTGATGGAGAGGCAGGTCACTCACACCAGGGATCCTGTGCAGGTTGGAGTATGATGCATACCGCACGGACCTGGAGGAGCTGAGCATGGGCCCRCGTGATGCTGGTGCTGTGAGCCGCCTGGACGCAGCCCAAAGCCAGTTCCAGAGCCACAAAGACAAGTATGAGAAGCTGAGGGCAGATGTGGCCATCAAGCTCAAATTCTTGGAGGAGAACAAGGTGCGGGGATGGGAGGTGCAGAGACTGGAGGTATGGGGGGAGGGGGCACAGGAATGGGCTATGCAGCACCAGTGGTGGGGGACACAGAGATGGGATACAGGAGGAGTAGGGGTTCAGGGCAGGGATGGGGGTTGTGTGATGGGGATGGGAAGCACTGGGATAGAAGGCATGGGAATGGGGACCCTGCAGGGATTTGACAGCCATGTTGGATTTGTCACTCAAGGATATGAATCGGGTACGATGGGCAGTATTTGGGGAGYGGTGGTGCTTGGGAGGTCTCAGAGGGCTTTCCAACCCCTGTTCTGTGCTGCTGGGTTGGGGTCAGGCCCCTCCAACCATGATCCCCTCCCACCCCAGATCAAGGTGATGCACAAGCAACTGCTGCTGTTCCACAATGCCATCTCTGCGTACTTTGCTGGGAACCAGCAGCAGCTTGAGCAGACCCTCAAGCAGTTCAACATCAAGCTCAAGACCCCTGGCGCCGAGAAGCCCTCCTGGCTGGAGGAGCAGTGAGCCCCCCGCGCCCCCCGCCCCGGATGGAGGAGCTCCACCACGGGGCACACATGGACCTCAATTGTGGCTGGGTGCTCAAAGGGGCCACAGCCCAGGCCCGGTCTTGGATGGGGGGGCCACCAGGTGTGGGGAGCTGCCAGTGGGCCAGGGCCCCCCAACCCACAGCCCCTCCTCAGGGCAGGGTCCAGCAGCTCCTCAGCACAGACCCCACACAGCAGACAACTGGAGCCCCCTGCCCCTGGCACTCCTAAGGGGCTGGGGGCACCCCCCCTTGCTGGGCTGCTCCCCCCAGACACCCCATTCACCTTGGAGTGGGCCAGGATCTGCCACTGTCCCCACTCTGCCTTCCTGGGGCAGGATGGAGTACACCCYTCCCAGGCCTCCCCCTCCACCCTACATCCCTAATTTCCCCTAGGGAGACCCCTGCCCCATGGCACAGTGGAGCTGGGTGGGGGCAGCACCAGAACAGCCAGGTCCCCTCTATGTCACGGAGGGCTGTGGGGCCTCCCCGCTGCACCTGGCACCCAGGGGGATCCTGCTCTGCCATCCAGCRTCGGGGACACCCCTGCTCCCTCCAGGCCGTTTGCAGCTGTTTCCAGGGTGGCTACTCTTGCACTCCTGAGTCACGGGGGGCTGCACCCCCCAAAGACCCCCCTGCTTTCCTGGGGCTGTGGCATCCTGGGCTGGGCGGGTGAGGCGTCCCTGTGCCCTGCTGCTAGTGACGGGGGAGTTGCTGGCCAGGCACAGGTTCCCTGGAACCCTGGAGAGGGCGGGGGGGCTCCAACCAGGGACCAAAAGTCAGTGGAGGCACAGGGGGGTGCACATGCGTGTCCATGTGTGGGTACACGTGTCTCCTGGGACTGGGGCACATGTGCTGCACAAGGGGGGTGGGGGTCCCAGCCAGGGTTCACCCCCACCCACGAGGGGCCCCCCGCCCACCCCTGCACTTGGGCACTTTCTCCTGAGACAAAACTGTTGGTTTTTCTTGCTCATTAATTTAACCCGTAATTTAATGTCGGGATCCGACTTCCCCCTCCCCCCGGTGATGGTCTGACCTCTCCCCCACCCCCCTGACTTCTGTAAAATCCCAAATAAATGGTACGGATCAGTGTGTGTGGGGCTACGGCAGGGACGAGGAGGAGCTGCACCCCGCGGGTGGGGGCTGCCAGGGCAGGTGGGAGACAGAGGCATAAACGCCAAAACGGTCAGGACTCCTGTGATGGAGCCTTGGGATGGGGGGGTGACTGGCTGCTGCTTGGGGGCCGCCCAGGCTTGGAAAGGGAATAAGCTGGAGCACAGGAGAGGTGGCTCTGGGGGCCTTGGGGGGACCCTGCTCACTTGTGTCTGACAAGGGGGGCCACCCATTGCTCCAATCCCATGGCACCAGCAGGAGCCAGGACCAGGCAGGAGTTAATGGGGACAGGCTGGAGGTCCCCACAGTGAGGGCTGGGTGGGATCTGCCCTGGGTTCCCAGCACCATCACCACCATCCCGCTGGTGGGGCTCAGGGATCTCACAGGGTGGATTCCCCTTCCTCAGGCCAGGCGCTAGGGCTGGTGCCATCTGGTGTCCCCCTCCATTGCCATTTGAGYTATTACCACTCTAGCTGCTGTTCCTTGACACCCCCCAGGACACTGACTGGCCCCTGGCACCCTCCCTTCAGAAAACCCCAGGAGATTCTCACCCCCCTGAATGTCCCTCCAGGATACTCCCTCCCTCCCTCCCTCCCTCCCAGCCCCCTGGGATATTGAAACCCTCCCATGGAGCCCTGCTACTCTCCAGACATGGATGTAGGCAACCCCTGGCCCCACTGAGCTACAGGAGTCAGGTGGGTATCTGCTCCCCAAGGGTTGGGAGCTGTCACCCTGTTCCTGGGCACAGAGTCCCCAGCACCTGCTCTCTTCCTCCAAGCCCAACCACCAGGTCATACGGGATATTGGGGAAAGACTGGGGTTCTCTGTGGGACTGGGGAGCCACTGGAGGATGGGGGTGGGGGGCCAAGGGACATCCTTGGTGGAGGGGGCCCACTTGATCCCCCTGTGTCGTAGGTGTCCCAGCACTCGATCCCCACTGTGCTGTAGGTGCCTGTGGGACACCCTGAGCCTCAGCGCTTTGTGCTATTGCTGCTTGTGCCTGGCTGGCAGTGGAAGCTCCAGAGGGTGTGTCCCAGGTTACAGGGTGGGTCACCCCCCTGTCACATTCATGATCCTCCTGGCTCGTGGGGGACTGCTGGCTGCACAACCAGGCTTGGCCTGGCTGTGGAACCTTCCAGACACTGAAGCCAATGTGGAGGGTCGGGGGACCATGCTGGGGACCCCCACATTGATGGGGACAGATTTATTGGGGGAATGGTTCATGGCAGAGCTCTGGGTGCATTCTGGAGCTGCTTCTCCCCGATGGGTCTCCAAAGAGCTGGGGGTCCATGTACTCCCCTGGGCCAGGTTGGGACCTTCCTGTCCCTGTGGCCATCATTCCCCCATGGACCACTCCTGCAGTGACCTGCCTGGAGATGGGGACGCATTCTCTGCACCCCTCAAGCTCCAGCTCTGTCAGGATCCTCTACCCATGAGGGCCTGCTTGCTGCCTGCCTCCACCCAAAGGAACCAGCCAGGAACCTGCTGGAACTCCCCAGGAAGATGCAGCATGTGGGTTCAATTCCACAGCGAGGGGCTCCCCGTGTCCTGAATGGGGCTCATGTCCTGCCAGGCAGAGGGGTAGTAGCTGAGGGCAGTGATGATGATGGCATGGGTCCCACACGGAGAAGATGTGGCAGCTGGCAAGTGGGACGAAGTGTGGAGTCCCTACAAACTGATGGGCTGGGACGGGGCTACTGGGTTCTGGTTTTACTTCTATCCCCGACTTTATAAGCCCCTTTGTACCCTGCCTGTCCCTTCTTTATACCACCGCTCTATAACCCGTATTTTACGCTTCTTTTTACCTGCATGTTCTTCTCCCCCCTTTATATGCACCTGTCTGCCTTGACCTTCCCTTTATTCGCCCTTTWTCCCCCTTTTATATCCCTGCTCCTCCCCAGTTTATAACACCCGTCACCCTACACTTGGAAACCGCCTGCACCCCGCCGTGCCCCTTCCCGTCCGTGTATGTCCCCATTCCCCAGTCCTATTCTCCCTCCAATTTGGGGTCAAACCCCCCAGATTCGGGGTAGGGATGTGGTTGCCGTGGCAACAGCCGGGTACCCCTGGATGCGCGGAGCCCCCCCCAACTGCAGAGCCACAGCCCAGGCGAGACCATTCGTGTTGGGGGGGGTCTGAGGGATCACTTTACCCACTTTCCCACGGGACCCTCCCCGTGAACCCCCCACTCGGGGACGGGAACGYGTCGTGGAGCATCGCGTTGCCACCTCTTCGTGGGGTGTCCTCGGGGAGGGTTCCGAGAAAGAGGGAAGAGGTGACAGGTTTGACCTCCCCCTCCAGACCGCGCTTGGTGCCGCCCGGCCCGGCCGCCTCCCTGTCGCATCCCGGGCCGGGGCCGAGGATGCGCCGTGGGGTCCCGCGGCGCGGGCTGGAGCGAGGAGGGGGCTGCGGGGCTGGTGAGTGGGGTCCGGGGGTTCTGCTGGGGGTCGGCACGGGGGGCCACGCGTGGGGTCTAGGGTGTGTGAAGGGGGTGTGGGGTGGGATTACTGGGGGGAGAGACCCTCGGAGAGACCCGCGGCGTGTGGGACCCCCCGGGCCCCCGCCATGTCCCGGTGCCGCGGGGGGGGGCGGTGCCGCACAATGGCGGCCGGGGCGGGGCCGGGGCCTGGAGAGTGGAGCCGCCGCAGCGCCGGGAGCGAGGCCGGGGTGAGGGGAGGGGGCGAGGGACGGGGCGTGATGGGTGTTGCGTGGGACAGGGGGCTGGAGGAGTGCTGGGGGGCTCAGGAGGAAGGTGGTGGGGTTGGGGTGTGCCCCGTGGGGCGGGAGAGTGGGTGCTGTGGGTCCTCTATGGGATAGGGGATTGGTTACCGTGGATGGGGGCGGGTGTCATGGGGCGCAAGGAGAGGGGGCTGCGGGATGTGTGGGTGCCGAGGGGCAGGTAGTGGTGGGGCTATGGGGCAGGGATTAGGATGCTGTGGGGCGGTGCTGTGGGGCGGTTCTGTGGGGCAGGACAGTGCCGTTGGTTACGGTGGTGTGTGAGGCTGGGGGGCACTTGTGGTGGGGCTGGCGTTGGACGCCCAGGGATCATGGGCTTGGTGGGGGACAGGTGGAGTCCCCGTGTCTGCCCCAYAGGGTATCCATGGGGCCGGGGACTGTGGGATGCCTTGAGGTGGATGCTGTGGTGCCATGGGTTAGGGCTGTGGGCACCCCCGGGGTGCTGAGCCCACATGCTGCAGGTTGAGCATCCATCATGGCCTTCTGCCAGCATGTGGGGTGGGCAGGGGGCTGTGGGGCATTGTGGGTTGAGGGGGGGGTTCCAGGGTACCACGCGGTGCCCCCCATGTGTTTAAATCCCTGCCCATCCCAGGCTGAGGGTCTGCCAGGGCCCACGATGGGCGTGTGGTGTGGGTGGGGGCTGTGGAGCACCACGGGTTAAGGCTGGGGATGGCTGTGGGGCGCCATGGAGCCCCATGGCGTGCCCCCGCTGTGCTGTGCCTCCCAGGCTGAGGAGCCGCCATGGCCCGCCGCGAGCCCGCCAGCCCGGTGGTGCGGCAGATCGACCAACAGTTCCTGGTCTGCAGCATCTGCCTCGACCGCTACTGCAACCCCAAGGTGCTGCCCTGCCTGCACACCTTCTGCGAGAGGTGGGGCCTCCCGAACCCGCCCTGAGCTCCCCTGCATCCTCCCAAACCCCATCCCTGCCTGCACACCTTCTGTGAGAGGTGGGACCCCTCACTGCACTCCCTCCCTCCACGCCACTGCATCCTCGGTATGCCCTCTGTGCTCTGGCACCCATTCTCCATCCCCGCCACGTCCCTGAGCACCTCTAYATCCCTGCTGTGCCTGCTGTATCCTACCAGCATCCAACCCCAGCACATCCCCACTGTGCCCTGGGCCCTTGTGCACTCCCTGACTGCACCCCTGCACCCCTCAGTCACCTCTGCCCCCTCCAGTATCCATCCCCTCTGCTCCCCAGTGCACCTAGCCCCCTCTGCCTTGCTGCACCCCTCTGTCTGAGACTGTGCACCCCCACTGTCCCCCCACTACTGGTTGCATGCCCAGTGTGCCCCACTGCACCCCTTCTGCACCCCCTAAAACTGCAGTGTGAGGAGAGCCCCCCCAGCCCCCCTGACCCCTCACAACTGGTGGTGAGCCAGGGTACTCCCTGCACTTCCTGCCCTCCCCAGCAAGAGATGGGGTCAAGCCTCCCTGTGCCCACAGAGGTGCGGGCTGGGACCCCCCCCCCCGCATTCCACAGCCCATGGCAAGGCTGGGATCTCATTGCCCCCCACACCCCACTTCTCTGCGAGGGCTGCACAGCTCTTGAGGCTGGAATCCCTGAGTGGGGTGGGTCTTGTTGCTGATGGCCCCCTCTCTTTGTGCTCTCACAGCCCCCCCCTGCTGCAGCTTCCCACCCCTTCCTCCCTTCCTTCCGTCCATCTATCCATCTCCACAGGGGCACTGGCACCACTGCCCCATGTCTGTCCTGTCCATCTGTACGACTGCCTGCTCCTCTGCCACTCCCCCACCCGGTGTGACACCACATAGACCCCCTGTCTGTCTGTCCATATGTGTCTCCCACCCTAGTGTGATAGCATGCAGCTCCCCTGTCTGTCCGTCCGTCTGTCCCCCTTGTGCATCCCGGTGTAACACTGTGCAGCCCCGCCATCTTGTCCATCTGTCCCAGTTTGTCTGTCCCTACCACCCTGTTCCCATACTTCAGTGTTCCACCACACAGCCCCCATGTCTGTGTGTCTATCCCCTTGCTCTCTGCCTRTGCCCCAACCCTTCCATCTATCTCACTGCCTCCCCACCGTGTTCCCCATCACCCTGTCTGTCTGTCCATCCTGCTCCCGCTCCTCTCTCTGTYACTGTGTGCAGCCCCCCTGTCCATCCATCTGTCCCCCTGACGCTGCCCGTCCCTAGTCCTGTCCGTGTGTCCTTGTCCTGCACCCTGACCCTCGTATTCATCTGTCTGTCCCACTTTCCACCTGCCCCCAACGCCAGGTACCCTGTTCCCTCTTCTGTCCCCGCCAT